GACTTCGGGCTTCACAGAGGGAAGGTTCATCAAAATAGCAGAAAGTCGAGGTGTAGGGAACAGAAGAGCGATTCACAGATGCAAAAGAGATAGACAGACACAAAGGCAGAGAAAAGGTAAGATGAGGACTGTGAAAGTGTTGGAATATGGCATACAGTGGGGGTGATGGTAGTTGGAAGTCAGAAGTCAAGTGCCGGTTGATAGACTTTTTTGCCGTATGAGTAGAGTTAACTGCCAGTTAATAGACTTTTTGCCGTATGAATATAACGAAAGCCGAGTGATAGACTTTTTTGCCGTAAGAAAATACGCTGCCCAGGGTGCACCACGTGGAGGTAAGTCTATCGCACACAAACTTCCGGTTAATAGACTTTTTACCGTATGAGTATACGTTTCCCAGGGTGCACCACGTGGAGGTAAGTCTATCGCACACCCACCAGGGTGCACCACGTGGAGGTAAGTCTATCGCACACCCCTTGTCAGGATGCACCACGTGGAGGTAAGTCTATCGCACACCCCAGGAATACCAAACATGAATTTAAAAAGCAGTTAGCGGTAAGTAGAACTGAAGAGGCATATTCGCTGTGCTACTTAAATTCCGATCTTATGCTCTCTCTCTCTCTCTATGTATACAGAGTTATTGGTAAAACAACGTAATTAAAGATTCAGTTCATTAGCATTAGTGAAGGGATTCTATTGATTTCCCCCTTTGTGAACCGCAGGGAATTTGATTTGATTTTAGATGGTCCACGAGAAATTTTCACCCCCCATCCCGAAACTCACAAAAACATCAGACCGGACTGTCACTTTGTGATAAACGAAAAAGTTGGCGGGTAAGTCTCCTTCTGACCACGTCTCAATGCGTTCATTTAAATGTCATCTCGTTTGTTTTTTTTTGGTGTTAAATATATTTTCACCGACCGTTTATTGCGGCCTGTGGGTAATAATATGGGCTAATTAATTGACAACACTTAGACCTCCTAAACATGCATTTGCGTAGAGAGTTGTAGAGTAACGATGCCCATGCGTACCTGTAGTCATATAACTGGAGCATATTTCACTTTAACATTTAACGCGATTAAAGTGATTGGATCCTGGTCTACTGGAGCAATTGGCAATTTTGTAAAGAAGCAAAGTAGCCTTTTGTGTAGTTGTCAAGAGCAATTTGTAGAGAAGTAGTTGAGAGGTGTTTTACGAAGATTCTTGTAAAATTGACGCGCCTTTATCTGCCTTCATTTCACTAGCCTTGAAATTGAGATTGATGGCTGTCTCTCTCTCTCCCTCTCTCTCTCTCTCTCTCTGCTTCAATTACTCCTAATAGCTCAATGATGACCTTATTTCATTCAAGTGTAAACGAGAGTCGTGTGTGTGTGTGTGTGTATGCACATTGAAGAGCATGTAAATTAGAATCAGATATGCTTGTGAAGCACCCTGGTGTTGACATTGCGATATATTATTGAACCTGATAGCGATTAGTCACACTCCAGTGAGGCATTCTTAACTCAATACCGTTCTCTCGAAAACACAAACTTTTAACTGAAATACCGGTATTACATTTTATTTTGAAATTAATATTAATGTAGATGTGTGCGACATATTCTATTGGTCCTTGAGATGAATTATTGTCTTGATTGTCGAGGTCAAAGAAAAGAGGTATCAAATACTCTCCGATAATATAGATTATTCTAGTAACATTACACGATACTGTCTTCTCTGCCAATGTTCTTAGTAAATTAAAATTTATTTATTTATATAAAATGGCGGGCGTTTTGATAGTTACCATTAGAAATTTAGTTGACTTCGGGCTTCACAGCGAGGAGGAGGAACATCAAAGCGACGAAAAGTCGAAAGGGGGGACAGAATAATGATTCACAGATGTAGAAGAGACAGACACAAAGGTAGGAAAAAAGGTGAGGTGAGTACTGTGGAAGTGGTGGAATATGACATACAGTGGGGTGATGGTAGTTTGAAGTCAGAAGTCAACTGCCGGTTTATGGACTTTTTTGACGTATAAGTAAACGTTGCCCAGAGTGCACCACGCGGAGGTGGGTCCATCGCGCTCACCCTCTCTCTTCGATCGTATAGATTGAGCGCATTGATCCAAATGCATTCAATGTGTGTAGAGGCAACCAGCCCAAACCCTGCATAGTAAATGCACAATTTTTGCAATATGATATGCCCATACTGATATGTCTAATTCAAATGCTTAGAAGAAGAAGCCCAAATCTGCTTAATTTACTTCAAACAGGTATTGATTTCCTGTCATTAAATTAATGTCATTAATACGAAAGATATTGCTAAAAAGAGAATTTTCTGCTCAACCAACCATGTTAATGGTATAAAACTAGTTCATTAATATTCTAATTATTATTTAACTTTCCCCCAATCTGATAATCTATTTGGGATATTTTCTCACCTCCAGTGAGCTTGAATAGAGCGATATTAGTGGATTAGTTATACCTACCCTTCCACACTCGAAAATGCAAAAAAGGAAAATGAGATTTCATGACAAGCAATTCAATTCAAACTCATCGATAGATGCTTCAGTCAGAGCTGATGTGTCGGCCATTGTAGCCCTATAGAACAGGCGGCAAAATTCCAGATTTATTATCAATTTCGATCCACAATGCGGCATTTGCAGTCATTAGAAATTCAATGGAGGTCATAACTTTGGGAATGACACTGATCGATTCCCGACTTTAAGATATTTTGTATTACCTACGGTTTGCTTCTACCATAAGTGCTCTCTTTGGAAGGCGATTTATTTACAGGTGGCCCAGTTAATGTCAGTCTAGACGATCTGGCAAAACTCACGTCAAACTCTGCAAGGTCACCTTATTAACAACTCAATTAATCTTTCCAATTTTCTTCAGAGTGCTGGCAATTTTGTTGCTCCGTTCAAAAATCGCATTAGCCTTAAGGCTGAAATTGTAACAGAGAATTTGATGAGTCTATTATTTCATAGAAAATGGCACAATTATAAAAACGATGATTATTATTTCTAAAAATGCTCTCCATGAATGGACGCCACCGAATACTGATATCTGTCCAAAAAATTCTTTTCAGGGCCCATTGACTTTCTCTTGACAGAAATGGGACAGAAATAGAAGGTACTGTCAATCGCATAATCCAGTCAGTCGCTTAAGAAGCCCTAATCTCATGCACCAATGTGGAAGTCAATTTGAACACTATGAAAAAGTACTTCATAGTACTTATAAGAATATAGAAAGTTAAGAGCTGTTTTTAGTTAAGATTTAATTAGATCAAATGGCAGGCGTTTTGATGGTTATCATTAGCCCTTCAGTTGACTTCAGGCTTCACAGAGGGGAAGGAACATCAAAATGAAAAGAGTCGAGACGGGGTGGGGGGGGGGGAACAGAAGAATGTTTCCAAGACGAAGGTAGAGGAGGTAGAAAAAAGGTGAGGTGGGTACTGCGGAAGTAGTCGAATATGACATACAGTGGGGTGATGGTAATTTGAAGTCAGAAGTCAACTGCCGGTTCATAGACATTTTTTGTCGTTGAGTATACGTTGCCCAGGCTGCACCACGTGGTGATAAGTCTATTGCACACCCCGTTTTTAGTTTGAATTAATTAAGGTTGTTAATGCCCTGAATTCTTGATCCACTTATGCGGGTATTTGTCCATTATTTTACCCTCTTATAATTAATGAACGAAGTACGATCAAGAATTAAGCGGAGACACGTCGTGTGCGTAAATAGCGTCTAGCATACTATGGCGGAGGAAATAAGTAGATCAGATAGAAATGATAAATTTTTTAATCACCCGGCTGTGCTGATAGAGGTCAAAGACAAAAACAAGAAATCTTGTTACTAGAACTTGCTCAATTTTCAATCCCTCCCCCCTCCCCCTCAATCGTGATAGCCCGCCTGGTTACCAGTTATTTTCATCAGATAGTTGTCACGGCCTCCCACCCGAGTCTAATCAACTTCTGCCTCTCTTGGTTAGGTATTCTACGCATTCCCTGTGTTCATCCCTTTGCTCGCTCATTGGTCAACACTTATTGAACGGTTGGCTAGGCACATTTTCCACGAAAAAACAGAAGTATTATTCGAAACGCTTATTTTGATAATCAAGTTGTACTCAATGGGAGTTAGCGAGAAATGGATTTGAAAGATTGTCATTTAATATGGAATTGAAGGTGATTGGGGATTATATCAGATAACTCCAACTCTTTTTTTCTTTCAGTGGCAAGTTCGGAAGCGTGTTCCGCTGTGAGAACAAACAGACCCACCAAATCCTAGCAATGAAGGAGATTAAGACAGATCGATTGGGACGACATACCTCGGGTGACATAATGGAGGTTGCTGTTCTTCGTGCCATCGGGCATCACGAAAACATCGCCTGCCTTCACAGCGTGTACGAAGTCCAGCATACATGTTTCATCATCACCGAATAGTGAGTTGGAATATTATTCTAAATTCTTTCATTTAAAATCGCACCAACTTTGCTTCGAAAAAGTGGAAATACGAGTGGCACTGCTCACTGCACTACAGACAATTTATAATCAATTTAATACTTTAAACGTTTAGTATAACGTACTTATTGAAACAAGCATGGGTCGGACATTTCACTGTGGTATACAAGCAGATGCATTTTCTGCTTAGTGTGTTGTCAAAATTAATAGACCCCCTTACTGTAAAGCTTGAGAGTAGCTAAAGCCCATTCCATGACATCTTATTATTGGCTCATTAATGTAACCCATTGCCAAGTGATGAGTCGTAACGGAATACTTATTTATTTATATCAAATTGCATGCGTTTTGATAGCTACCATTAGCCCTTTAGCTGACTTCAGGCTTGACAGAGAGGAGGAGGAGGAGGAGGAACATCGAAGTCAAAAATTAAAGAGAGGGAGAAGAAGAGTGATTCACAGATGTAAGATGAAACAGACAGACAAATACAAGGGCAGGGAAAAGGTAAGATGAGTACTGCGGAAGGGGTCGAATATGACAAATAGTCGGGCCATAGTAGTTTGAAGTCAGAAGTCAATTGCCGGTTAATAGACTTTTTTACCGTATGAGTATACGTTGCAAAGGGTGCACCACGTGGAGATAAGTCTATCGCACACCCCAGTAACGGAATATACCAAGTACGTATACACAGATATTAAGTGGTCTGCTATTGAGTCTATTCGCTAGGATACCTAAGCCATACTGAGTCTTTCATTGAAGACAGGGTAAAAGTGTCACGAGGTGAAAAATCATGTTAAATTGAAGAATCGTGGCAAATATGCATCAATAATATTGAGAACAGACTGGAGCCACTAATACGTACGCTTGTCTACGAAGTGAATAAGGAATGTGTTGGGTTTGGGGTGGGGGGG